TATGAAAAACATATTTTAAATATTTACACTCCTACTGGACTATAAGCTTCCTAACTTATAATCTGTCTTGTATAATGTGTAATGAATTCAATTTAATATATACAAACACTCAGAAGATAGAAAACCTTTACAATATGAGTATCTGTGATTCTCAGTGCAGGGAAGGATTATTTTTAAACGATATACAAAAAAAAGTAAAACTATAAAAGTATCAAGTTGATAATCTGATAATACTAAAATAGAAACATCTGTGTAAGAGAAGGACTCCATAATAAAAGACAAGCCAAAAAATGAGGAAAAGGATACTATAGATTTGGAATATATAAAACAAAGCAAACAAAGTGGAGTGACTGACAGGAACAAGTAATTCATAGAAAGAAAACCTAGAAGGTTTATTAAGACACCATGAACAAGATGCCCAGCATTGGCTGGGCAAGCAGCTCATGCCTGTAAACCCAGCACTTTGTGAGGCCCAGGCGGCGGATCACCTGAGGTCAGGAGTTTGAGACACCCTGACCAACATGGAGAAGTCCCATCTGTACTAAAAATATAAAATCAGCTGGGTATGGTGGCCCATGCCTGTAATCCCAGCTACTCAGGAGGCTGAGGCAGGAGAATCGCTTGAACCCGGGAGGAGGAGGTTACAGTGAGCCGAGATGGTGCCATTGCACTCCAGCCTGGGCAACAAGAGTGGGGAAAAAAAAAAAAAAAAAGCCCAGCATCACTAGTAATCAGGGGAATGCAAATTAGAATAATGACATACCATTTCAACACCTGTCAGATTGGGCAAAAAATGTAAAAATTTGGTATAACCAAGTGTGTAGATGATGAATATATGGGAAATAAAGCTCTTAGGTTCTCGAAGTTTGTTTTCTTTCTTTTCTTTTTTGAGATGGAGTCTTGCTGTGTCGGTCAGGCTGGAGTGCAGTGGCGTGATCTTAGCTCATTGCAACCTCTGCCTCCCAGGTTCAAGTGATTCTCCCGTCTCAGCCTTCCAAGCAGCTGGGATTACAGGCGTGTGCCATCACACCCGGCTAATTTTTGTATTTTTAGTAGAGACAGGGTTTCACCATGTTGGCCAGGCTAATCTTGAACTCCTGACCTCAGGTGATCCACCTGCCTCAGCCTCCCAAAGTGCTGGGATTACAGGTGTGAGCCACTGTGCTCCACAAATTCTTATGTTCTTACAACTTACTTTGAGGAGCAATTGGCAGCAGGTACTAAATAATGCTAGTATTGGCTACAGAATGACAAATGCAGAACTGTTTTTTTTTTTTTCCTTTTTTGAGACAGTGTCTCACACTGTGGCCCAGACTGGAGTGCAATGGTGTGATCTCTGCTCACTGCGACCTCCACCTCCCGGGTTCAAGCAATTCTCCTGTCTCAGATTCCTAAGTAGCTGGGATTACAGGCATCCACCATCATACATGGCTAATTTTTTATATTTTTATTAGAGACGGGGTTTCACCATGTTGACCAGGTTGGTCTCGAACTCCTGACCTCAGGTGTTCTGCCCGCCTCAGCCTCCCAAAGTGCTGGGTTTACGGGCAGGAGACACCATGCCTGGCCGCAGCACTTTTTTAAACAACCGGACAACCACCTGCCCCTCAATAGGGAATAAACTGTGGATTACACTTTATTTTATACAATGGAATTCATAAGCTGTTAAGATGAATGAATTAGATGTATAGGGATTAAAAGATAATTCTTAAAAGCCATGTTGAGACTAGACACGGTGGCGTCTACTTGGGAGGCTGAGGCAGGAGGATAGCCTGAGCCCCAGGAGTTCGAGTCCAGCATGGGCAGCATAAGTAGACTTCTATGGACAGCAAAAAAGGGACCGTATCCCGCACAATGCCCTGCCAACAAGCAGTCTCTATCTATCTATCTATCTAGTCTGATATTATGTATATATTCTGCTATATTCTGCTATATACTTAAGTTCCTAATTATTAGATTTATATATACTTAGTTCCTTAGTAATTATTAGACTAATAATACATATATTCTAGTATTTATATGTAATTAGTGATATTATTCTAATCATATATATTAGAACAAAATCATATATTCTAGAACACATGTATTAAACATATATATTCTAATATATACTTAATTTCCTAAGTAACGAATATTTTAATACATGTAATATACATTATATATATATGTAACACAAGTCTAAGGAATTTGTGGAGGCTAAGAGAGGTGCTTGCTGAATATGAAAGCAGGCCACAGGAACAAGATTGGATGCAAGGGGATGGGGGTGGAAAGGTCCAAGAATCTGGGAGCCAGATCTTAAGAGCTGGAGGGGTTGGAGTGGTGTGTCCCAGAGGTCTGGAGGTTGCTGGGGCCGAAAGGGGTTAAAATTCGACTGGGAAGAGGGTGTCAGCACCGTACCTTTCTCATTGCGAACTGGGACGGCCCCAGCCGTAGACTGAATGGGCGGTTGCTTCATGAGAGCGCTTGGGACCGACATGTTGATAGCAGCGACGGTGATTCCCGAAACTTGACTAATTCCAAACAGTGAACACCAACAACGTCAACGAAGAGAAGAAATTCCTTCCACCTAAGTCCACGAACACAGCTGCGCGACTGATAGAGAAACTACTTACGGCTGAGCTAGATAAACCGGAAATACGTGACGAGAGGATTGTGGGATGGTGGAGGACGTTTGGGCGCCCACAGCTAGGACGTTGAGTGTGTTTCTGCGCATGCTCATCGGCTGCCCGCGTGTTCTCTACGTTGCAGAATTTGGAAGCTGCTTTTGGAGGGAAATTTTGCTTCCTTTGGGCTTTGCTGTTAGGACCCTGCGGTGAGGAAGGTTCGAATGAAAGATTTTACGTGTTAGCTTGGTTTGAAGCCAAGAACGGTATAGTGAATAAGAAACTCAGGCGACAGTGAGTTACCGTTTGTCTGGCTTGTTGAAAGCTCAGAAGAAGTAGAGTTTGATGGAATAAAAATCTTGCCAGTAGTATCCGATTAGCTCAGTTCAAGAGGCCAGGGTGGGCTGTGGTGCAGTATTTGTTGTCACAGGGCAGGTGGTGCTGATTTAGGCCAGTGACCAAAAAAAAAAAAAAAAAAAAATCTCTTAAGGTGCCTGGGACATTACCTGCCTGAAATCCCAAAACTCCACTTTTAGGCTTTCAGGTTTTTCCAGTTTCTAGAAAATACCTATTAGAATATATTCCTGATTGGAAAACGTTTGTATTTAAATATCTAAGTAATTATTATTATTTTGAGACAGGGTCTTCTTCTGTCACCCAGGCTGGAGTGCAGTGGCTCGATCTTGGCTTACTGCAGTCTCCACCTCCTGGGTTTAAGCGATTCTCGTGCCTCAGCCTTCTGAGTAGCTGGGATTACAGGCGCCCACCACCATGCCCTGCTGATTTTTGTATTTTTAGTAGAGATGAGGTTTGACCATGTTGGCCAGGCCCAAGAGATGATCCCACTCCGGCCTCCCACAGTGCTGAGTGGTGGCGTGTGCCACCACTCCCGGCTAATTTTTGTATTTTTAGTAGAGGTGGGGTTTCACCATGTTGCCCAGGCTGGTCTTGAACTCCTGACCTCAGATGATCCACCTACCTTGGCCTCCCCAAAGTGCTGGGACTACAGATGTAAGCCACGGCGGCCGGCCTATTTAAGAACTCTTTAAGGACTTACAGGATAATAACAGAAGCAGCGCCAATTTACAAGCTGGGTTGTGTTAAAAAAAAAAAAAATATATATATATATGTATATATGCGAATTGGAAAGTCAGGGCACATTTCACATTAGAAAGGACTTTATAACTGCGGAGGAGACAAGGGACAGCAGGAACAAAGTTCTGAAGTCCAGAAACAGTATACATTATACAGGACACCATGAAAAGTTTGGTTTTATCAGTAATTTTTGAGTCATGGAGGGCCTTGAAGTTGCTGTTAATGTGATTAACCCAAATTACTTCACCTGTGTTCTACAACTGGGCCTTGAGTGGGAGAAGAAATGAAACTGGACAAGGCTCAGGCAAGAACAGTGTGGGACCCAATTAAGAAACTAAGGAAACAGTTTTGGGTAGAAGGAAACTTAAAGAGAAGAATAGCCAGAATCTTATTTTAATTTATAAAAGAGACAGGGTCTTGCCCTGTCGCTCAGGCTGGAGTGCTGCACGACCACGGCTCACTATGGCCTCATCCTTCTAGGTTCAAGCCATTTTCCCACCCCTGCCTTCCGAGTAGCGGGGACTACAGACGTACAACACCACGCCGGGCTAATTTTTGTATTTTTTGTAGAGATGGGGTCTCACTATGTTGCCCAGGCTGGTTTGGAACTCCTGGGCCCGAGTGATCCACTCCTCTCGGCCTCTCAAAGTGTTGGGATTACAGGTGTTAGTCACCGCTCCCGGCCTGCCAATGTTTTTCAGAGAGAGATCCCAGTACCACCTGAATCAAAATCAGCAGTCTGAGGTAAAAATGTCAGTTCAGCCCCAGGACTTCCCTAAAGAATTTGAGTCCTTCTGCAAGTTTTCTTTATTTTAGTCTTCTTACATGCAACTTCATTGTTAGAATTCTTTTCTAATAGGGATCTGGGGCACATAAGCTGGTCTAGCTGGTAATTACTGAGTGAAAAGGGGGCAAGATAGGCCTTAGCTGTTTTTATTAAAACTGTAGTCTGTACTGGTCTCAGAGACACATAAGCGATTTTTTTTTTTTTTGAGACGGAGTCTCACTCTTGTTGCCCAGGCTGGAGTGCAATGGCGCGATCTCGGCTCACTGCAACCTCTGCCTCCTGGGTTCAAGCAATTCTGCTTCAGCCTCCTGAGTAACTGGGATTACAGGCAAGTGCTACCCGCGCCCGGCTAATTTTTTACTTTTAGTAAAGACGGGGTTTCATCATGTTGGCCAGGGTGGTCTTAAACTTCTGACCTCAGGTAATCCGCCCGCTTCAGCCTCCCAAAGTGCTGGGATTACAGGCGTGAGCCACCGCGCCCGGCCAAAGCGGCCTTCTTTAAGAAGCGCGGGTAACCCGGACTTCCCGCTCTGCCGCTGCGGCCGCTGAGGATCTGAGTGGGCTCCGCCCCGTCCCGGCCCCGCCCCTCTCGGCCTCCCGCCGCAATCTTGGCGGGAAGGAGTCGGCCACCGAGAAGCCGAAAGATGTCCAGGTCCGGCGCGGCGGCTGAGAAGGCGGACTCCAGACAGCGACCCCAGATGAAGGTGAGAAACGGATCGGTGCTTCCAGGTGTGCGCCTGCTTCGGTTTTTGTGAGGGTTATGCGGGACACAGACCCGGAAGGTCGAGGGCACCTGGTACCGGGGGTTGGCGGCGATCCCTGCCCTGAGGCCTTCGGCTTTGACGAAAGGTTCTTATCAATAACCCTAGAAATAGTGGGAGAGTCACATCTGGGATTCCCTTTCTTCAACCTTCTGCGTTTGCTTTTGCCACAGTTATGATCAGCTTCACACTCTTTAAATAATTCCAGACAATCCGTAGCTGACAGTTGGGGTATTTGCTTCAGTCCAAATGCTAGTCATTATTATTGGTCTGGGAAACTCTGATGGGCACATGTGCCTAGTAAGTGAATTCTGTTGAGGTTAAGGTTAATGAATTACATATCTAGATTTTGGAGGGGGAAAAAAGTTTTCTTACAGGGTGTCAATTTGGATTTATTTATTTTTTTGAGCTTGAGTCTCGCTCTGTCGCCCAGGCTGGAGTGCAGTGGCATGATCTTGGCTCACTGCAACCTCCGCCTCCCGGGTTCAAGCGATTCTCCTGCCTCAGCCTCCTGAGTAGCTAGAATTACAGGCAGGTACCACCACACCCAATTTTTGTATTTTTAGTAGAGACGGCGGGGGGCGGGGGGGGGGCGGGGGGGGGGTGGGGGGGGCGGCGGGTTTCATCATGTTGGCCAGGCTAATCTTGAACTCCTGACCTCAGGCCCTGCCTCAGCCTCCCAAAGTGCTGGGATTACAGGCGTAAGCCACCGCACCTGGCATCAATTTGGATTTATATTGTCGTTGTGAAATGGGAATTATTAGATCTGCTGGGGATCCTGTAAGAAAAGGCACAGGACTTGGAATTCTAATACTCTCTTTTCTTTTATTGATCTGAATAGGTAAATGAATATAAAGAAAATCAAAACATCGCTTATGTGTCTCTGAGACCAGTACAGACTACAGTTTTAATAAAAACAGCTAAGGTCTATCTTGCCCCCTTTTCACTCAGTAATTACCAGCTAGACCAGCTTATGTGCCCCAAATCCCTATTAGAAAAGAATTCTAACAATGAAGTTGCATGTAAGAAGACTAAAATAAAGAAAACTTGCAGAAGGATTATACCTCCAAAGATGAAAACCACATCTTCTAAGTCTGAATCCACGCTGCAAAATTCAGCCTCAGCTGTTCATACTGAAAGTAACAAGCTACAACCCAAGAGAACGGCAGATGTGATGAATCTCAGTGTTGATGTGGAAAGTAGTCAGGATGGAGACAGCGATGAAGATATCACACCAGGCCTGGTAAGGACTTAATTAGTAGCTTGTTCTAGTATCTCTTTTTTTAAATGTGAAGTTCTGATAAATTGAGGTTTTTCAAGGCTCTCTCTGGTACAAACAAATTATTTTATCTAATAATGTAAGAATAAATGTAATAATACATTATTATTTTTAAGGTTTAACAAATAACTTCCTTGGGTTATTTTTGCTTTTGCTGTTGATGTGTCCATGAAAGGATTGACTTAATCTTTACTCTGCTTCCCTTTTTCTTTCTTTAAACTTACTGCATATATTTTTGGGTTTACTCATACTTTATGGTGCCTTGCTCACCTTTACATATTTATGTACAGTATGTCAGAAGTCATCAGTTTGTGGGATATATGGTATTGACTGACCCTTGATATCAGCGTAGGGAAACTGATTATATGGATGTGTTGAATAATATTTCCTTTAAATGCAAAAGGAGACAAATGACAGAGTAGATAAGATACATGAGAAATGCATTAATTAGTTCTATATAATTCCAATCAACTTAAGGAATTTGGTGTGTAATTTTTTTTTTTTTGGAGACCGAGTCTCGCTCTGTCGCTCAGGCCGGAGTGCAGTGCCACTATATTGGCTCTCTGCAACCTTGGCCTCCTGGATTCAATAGATTCTCCTCCCTCAGCCTCCTGAGTAGCTGGAATTACAGGTGCCCCACCATGCCTGGCTAGTTTTGTGTTTTTAGTAGAGACGGGTTTTCACCATGTTGGTCAGGCTGGTCTCTAACTCCTGACCTCCTGATCCGCCCGCCTCAGCCTCCCAAGGTGCTGGGATTACAGTGGTGAGCCACTGCGCCCAGACTGGTCTGTAATTCTTTTGGCTTCTACTGCCTACCAGGAGGGCTGTGCTCCATTCAAACTGACAACTTTTAACAGGATAAGATAAAATATAAAGCACATGACACAATGTTGCTGGAACTCAGGGAACAGAAAATGATAGTAGGGAAAGGGAGATACTATAATTGAAGGGTTATTGTTATGAAATAGAAGTTTGGTTTATGCTTTCTTACCCCAGAGTTAAGAACCAGGACTCATAGTGGGACAGCATAGGACTTGCCCCCTTTTCACTCAGTAATTACCAGCTAGACCAGCTGAGAAGGCGGACTCCAGACAGCGACCCCAGATGAAGGTGAGAAACGGATCGGTGCTTCCAGGTGTGCGCCTGCTTCGGTTTTTGTGAGGGTT